CTGGAGTGGGGATACATACTTTATTGGCTCCACCCACACGAGATCATATATAAGTGGCTTAGTGATACAATTAAAGAGCCATGTCTATCATGTGTTGTCAGTGTCATACTTGTGGTGATGACTCTAATTCTCTCGAGAACGTTTACTACTCAAGCACAGTTTCCCTTAGTTTAGTTTCTTTAATTTTTTTGTTTTCTATTTCTTGTTTGTAGTTTAGATAAACACTATCATTTTATTTGTGTTCCTAGCAATTTACTAAGTAGGCTATTTTCAAACTACGGCTTGGGTGCGTACGTAACTACGTGAGTGATAGTGGAGTTGCCGGGTAAGTTGTACTAATTCCTTCCTATTTGCTCCCTGGGAGTTTGACACTTCACTTATGACGGAAATGCTACAAATAGCCCTGTGCACTTGCAAAATCATCAGTCGGCGTGACAATGGTGATGGCCAGGGCATGGCCGAAATCAAAGGGACGGGGTTGCGGCATGCCGAGCTCGGCCATGGTCACAACGGTCCCGGTAGACATAGCCAAAGGGCGTGATAGGCCAGTAGGGTGGCAAGGACGCTCGGTTGACTGGCCATAGTCGATGGCTGGGGTTGGTCGACTTGGAGGTAGGGTGTGGTTGTGGAGTGGCGGTAAAGTCTCACGAGGTGGCGGTTAGAGCAACTCCTACGCACTAATCCATTTTATCCGTACGTGTTTGTTTGGGTTGAAACGGACGCAAAAGTAGGTCCAACGCGTCGACCCAAACGAATGCACGCCCTCTTTTCGTCCACCAGACGATCCATTCTGGGCCTAAATTTGGGTCTCGTTGCATCGGCGCGGACACGAGTGCATGACACCCGCCTACTTCTTTCCCTGGCCTGCCAGTCGGTGGCACATAGATCATTCTCCTCCTCCCATTGACAACCAGCACATCCGGCCGCCCTAAATGAACAAAAAACGGATAAAATGCGCGTCCGGTTGGATCGGTGCGTTGGAGTTGCTCTTAGGCTTGGGGTCATCGTTTTCTATTTGGTTTTGTTTTTGGCTGGGGGATCACTTTCTTAATATACTAGTCAATGTGTACGTGCAATGCACGTTAATTTGAAAGTATATTAAGTGCATGCGAATATTAAGTAGGATATTATTTGCGTGTTATTATGTGATTAGCACTATATTTTGCATGAAATTAACTGCACGCTAAACGTGTTGCGAGCTCGACATTGAAGCAGGCTAGGCCGTTGGATTGATATGATTTGATACAACAACAACAACAACAACAACAACAACAACAACAACAACAACAACAACAAAGCCTATAGTCCCAAACAAGTTGGGCCAGTAGGGTGGCAAAGGCACTTGGTTGACCGGCCACAGTCGGTGGCTGGAATTGGTCGGCTCGGAGGCGGGGTGCGGCTATGCAGTGGCGGTCAGAGAGCAACTCTAATAACACGCTGATCCATTTCGTCCGTGCGTGTTTGTTTGGATCGAAACAAACATAAAAGTCGACCCAACGTGTCGACCTAATAAAAGAAAAAAGAACGCGCGTCTACTTTTTGTTCGCCAGACGGCCCATTTCAGGCCCAAATTTGGGTCTCGTTGCATCAGCATGCACACAAAACAGACATGCGCGACAGCCGCCTACTCCTTCCCCTGGCTCGCTAGTCGGTGGCACATATGCCATTCTCTTACTCCCATCAACAACCAGCACATCCGGCCGCCCCACCACGTCGTTGCCGCCGCCACCGCCCAGTTTCGGTGCCCAGGACAGCCGCCCGTACCCACATACCTTCCCGCACCAACGCCGCTGCCACCGCCACCACCTCACCGCACCACCACTGTCATCCGGCCAGTAGCACCTCGCCGCGTGCCCCCGGCCCTGTCTGGCTTATAAACTATGATATATTTATTTGGTTGTGAAACTATGTAAGATGTTGGTATTATGTTTGAAAAAAAAAACGACAGGCCAGCCGCGAGGATGAAAATGCATCTGCACGTTGGGTGCTCGGCCGACCCGAACGCAGAAGGGGGCGGACGACGCACCGGCAACCCAAACAAACAAAAAAAGAAACGAAATGCGCGTCCATTCGGATCAACACGTTGGGGTTGCACTTAGGCTTGGTTCCACCATTTTCGGTTTGGTTTTGTTTTTTGGCAGGGGTATAAATGATACATTATTGGTAAAAAATTGATGTCGGAATAAAAAGAAATTGATGGCAACATAAAATATTGTTTTTTTAGGAAAGGAGGAGGATCCCTGGCCTCTGCATCTGGAAGATGCACGCAGCCACTTTATTAATTATTCACACAAGACCTTATAAAGTCATACAATAGTAAGACAAAAGCCACCATCTATGCAATATCTATTGCTACTTCTATCCAGTTGATGAAGGAATGCTGATAGTCTGGGCCTAATACCAAACAAACCTCGCAGCCAAACCTAACATCTAAAACCTGAGGTCGCAACTAGGACGCCTGCCGGGTATGGGCACCCACCAGTCCGGCGCACTCCTCAACCAGGACGCATGCTGGGTATAAGGCCGCCGCAGCCACCTGTCACCAATCCATCTCCAGTGTTGTACTGCTGCATTAACCTTGCCAGGCCTGCCGTCGACGCCACCACGACGCCAGACAACCGCCACCATCCTGCGCGTGTCCATCCATGCGCGCCCATCGCCGAAACTCCGCAGCGCCATGCCGCCGTGATCCGCCGCCGGCCTTGCGGTAGATGTAACACCGCTCCTCCTATTCCCACCTCCATCCATCACTTGCTCCAAAACGATGACCCCAGGAGGGAAAGCGATACAGAGAACGTCATCATCGTCCGATCCGGGAGACCCAGATCTAGGGTTTCCCCCAGAGCATCCCGAGCCTGATGACGCAAACTGCAACGACGATGCCTCGATAAGGAAACGACATCAAAGACGTCGCCATCGTCCCTCATGACCATAGTCGGCGCGATTTTCATCGACACTTGCGCCACCGGGCGTGCGCCGTTGGCGTCGCTGGTCCCTTCAACCGGAGCAAATTCCAAAATGATGTCCTGAAGAGGGACTACGACGCAAAAGCGCCGCCATTGCTCGCTCCCATGGAGATCTAGGGTTTCCCCCGGAGTTGCCCGCGCTGTCAAGGACCAAACAAGGATGGAATCCGCATATCCGCCGAGCTGCCGACGTGCCGCACTCGCCATCGCGCCGACCGCGACCGGGAGACCAAGCCCACGCCTGGGCCCTGATCCGGCCGCGCCGCCGCCGCCGTCCCTAACGACCGCGACGCCCAAGACCTTGAAGCCGCCTGCCGTGGAGGTATGGAATCGCCGGAGCGCCGCCATCCCCTGCCGTGACGTCCGGCCGAACACCACGCACCGGCCCGGGGGCGCCGGCCCGCGCCAGCCCCTCACGGGCGGGAGGGCCCCGAGTCCCCGCCGCCGCCGGCAACGGCAAGGCTTCGCCCTCGGGCGGCGGCGAGGGAGGAGGAGGAGGAGGAGGAGAAGGGGAGGCCGGGCTACGGGATCTGGGAGCCTCCGGGCCGCCACACGGGGCGACTCGGGTGGAGGCAGGTGCGACCCAATTTTTTATGAGGCAGAATGAAATATTGTTCTGTGTGAATTATTATAATTTCTGTAATATACTGTATAGTAATCGATAAATTAAAGATCTAAAAAAATAAAATACGAGTAATACACAGTGTGAATGGAGAAAGCAAGCTGCATTCTCCCAAGAGACTTGCGTTCTCATCGAGAGCGTCTCCTACTCAGAGCAGCATTAAGTGCTTCGGTTACTGACTCGAAGTCCCTGCGTCCACTTAATTTCTACCCCTCCTGTATGTACTTGAAAAAGGGTGCACACTTTCTTGCTGGGGGCGACGGCGGCCGGCGGGTTAGACACGTCAGGTTGGGATTAGGGCGGCGGAGGAGCCGCGGCGGTGATTCGGCCCGATCAGCCGGTCAACATCCTCATCGGCGGCGGCTGCAGGAGCAGGTAAGTGTATGGCTCATCGCTCAGTTGAATCTCGAAGCCCAGATTGGGGCATTTGAACCAGGGGCAAACCCCATCATTTTTCTTGAATAATCCATCATCACTTGATCCGATGCATTAGTTCATTTCTCTGTTTCTCTGTTTTTTACTACGATTCTCTGAAAGAGATCTTTTACATACTCACTTGATGGGGGTTTCTCTGTTTCTCTGTTCTTTGATCCGATGGCGTAGTATAAATGGGGGTTTTCTGCTGCAAAGATAAATGATGCTTTGCTGTATCATTTGCATTCAGAATCGTGAATGATATAAATGAAACAAAAAGTACAAAACTAGAAACACATATAAAGATGAAACATGGACGAACTTGTTGTGGAAATGCATTCAGAGTCAGAGTCCTCTGCATTTGCTCTTCTGGTTCCAAAGGAAATATGTTGGCTCTTATCCGATGCAAAATCTTGATGCGCAGGGCCTGAAAGACTATGGGAATTTTGCCCCCATTCCATGGTTCGACACCTAATCCAAATCTACTCCTTCCTAAGCGTATCTTCAGTGCGTGTAGGTCCACAAAATTCAACACCTAAACGTATAAGCTTTCTTTGTAGCAGATGTTAACTGGATACTGATATGTATGTTTGTTGATAGATCATGTTTTCCTTCGCTCACATCTTCTGAGCAATGCTCGTTTTATGTTTTATGAGAAACCTGAGATTAATGGATGATATTGTCATATGCACTGAAGATTTCTTTTTTTTTCGAAAAGGAGGATAACGCGCGGACTCTGCATCGAGCGACATAAGCACTGAAGATATGCTCAGGTTTTTTTTAATGTTCTGTTGGTTTTATGACTCGATCCTTTGTTTTTTTTCTGTAGGAGTTAATTTTATTTATTCTTGAATCGTTCTCCATAATGCTGGCCAGCATAGTTTTGAATACCGAAAGTGTTATGTTATTTGTACATCATCCATGTCTCATCTTTTTTATGTTGGACACTATTTCAGAAGGAGACCGCAAAATTAGTGGCTCTGAGCCAGTCTCCGGAAATGGCTATGGAGCATGATCAACCTCATGAATGCAAAGACGATGAGCAGTTCGCTTGGCCATGGAAGGGTGTTCTTGTTAACGTGCCTACCGAATGGAAGAACGGGCGCTGCGTCGGAGAACAAGGAAACCACTTGAGGGATCAGCTCTCGCAATTTTGCGCACGAAAGGTTATTCCTTTGTGGGACAAACACAATGGCCATACTAGGAGTGCCATTGTGGAGTTCACAAAAGACTGGAGTGGTTTCAAAAATGCAATGGACTTTGAAAATCACTTTGAGGCACGAGGATGCGGCAAAAGGCACTGGAAGGGGCAGCAGTACCATGGGCCGGAGATGTTTGCTTGGGTTGCAAGAGTGGATGATTACAGATCGTACACGCCTATTGCTTCCTGGTTGCGTAAGTACAGTGATCTAAAAACCATTGTTGATCTTAAGAATGAAGAAGCCCGTAAAACTGGCAGACTTGAAGAAAGTCTAGACAAACGGGTTGAGGCAATGGATAGGAATGTGCAGGAGCTTGAGTACGAGTACAATCAAACGACTCAATTGCTTGGTAAGGCAGAGGAGGATATGAAGAAGCTCATCCAGTCTCACACTGAAGGTCTGTGTCAATCTTTGTCTATTTTATTTGAACTCTGTAATTATCATCGCATCTGCAATTCTGTCTTGGCATACTTGGATCGTATGGTTTGTTAACACTTATTTCATTTGTACCAGAAATTCACAAAATACAGCTTGATGAGCTAGCTGCTATAGACGAGTCTAACAGAATCACCCTCGAGCAAGAGAAGGAAGAGGTGTGTGACATCTTGTTTCTTGTATATTGAGTTTCTCTAGGGAGCGATAGAAGATGATTGTTTGTTTCCATGTTCTTCTGCATAACAACATTGCATATACTATTACGTTATAAAATTATTAGATGCAGCATGTTTAGCAATATGAATTTGTTTTTACCGTTGTAGTTTGTAGGGAGGCCATATTGCTAGTGAAAAAAGTGCATTGTTGCTAGGTAATTACCATTTAGTGTACTGTGTTGTACACATAACTAACTTTGGTCTGTTTTCAAACAAAGCGTGCTTTGATGGAGAAAGTGAGGGCAAGTGAAACTTTGCTTAAGCTTGTTGAAGAACAGCAGGTTTGGGTCTTTGTAATTGTTTCTCACATCTGACAGTATAATAATCTATACAAGTGTCTTATTTATTGTGTGTAAAATGCAGAGGGAGACAAAACTTGCTCTAGATAAGGATCTTGAGATACGGCAACTAATTCTTGACAAGCAGGCTCTTGAAATAGAACTGAAACAGCTACAGGGTGAATTGGAAGTAACGGAGATTATGCCAGGTGAGGAAGTTTCGAAGAAGAAGAGAATTGGTGAACTCCGCGAGAAGCTAGAAGAGAAGTATGAGGAAAAAGAATATTGGGAATCAGTCCATCAGGGTCTGATTGCCAAGCAAACAGCACATACTAATGAGTTGCGACCTGCTAGGAAGAAGCTAATAGATGTAAGCTACGTAAATTATCTTAGTTCTTGTCCAGTACTGTGTAACGTCATGCGGTCGATGATGACCTATTGCTTTTGTGTAACTTCTGAACAGCATTATCCTTCTGATTTGTTGCTTGTATGGCAGGGCTTCCAGGATCTTACAAATGGTCGAGGAAATATAGGCATCAAAAGAATTGGCAAACTTGAAGAAAAAGCATTCTTAAATGCTTGTAAGAAACAGTTACCAGAAGACGATGCAGAATTTACAGCTGCCATTCTTTACTCCAAGTGGGAAACTCAGATTGAAAATTGGTCTGCCATGTTTCATGGGAATAGCACGGTACACACTTTCTTTCCTCTAACAGAACTTTTAATCTCAAGTTATCAATTTCAGGGTGGACTTGTAGTTGTTCTGAACACTTCGTGGTTGCCAATTTTTCTTGACACCCAAAAATTCATGAATCATTCAGCGTTTTGTCAAACACCTTTCACTTCAACCATTAACAGAAACAAAGTTATTCCGTTTTTTTTTTAGAAAAGCATGATGTACCCCCGGCCTCTGCATCTGAGTGATGCATGCAGCCACAAAGTTATTCCGATTTAAAATGTGAAAACTACATCAATCAATTTTTGCTAGGAAGAATACTTGCAATACTCAACATCACAACCTTATATTTTCACTAGTATAGTTATATAAAACCGAAGAAAAGGTTCATTTTAGCCTTGAATTATTGTGCTCTGTCCGACTTGAACCATGATCTATGAAGGTGCCTATATCAAATCCTGGACTTTCCAAAACCTTTCAAAGTGAAATATATACCTGTTCTGAAAAGTGGTTTTGTATTTTGGACCTTTAAAGAAGTATCGATTTTTTTCAAGGTTGTAGGAAATGCTATGAGATGATAAACCATAAAATTTGATCAAAATATCTGAATATTTATGTTATGTACATATATAAATGGCAAGAAATACATGTTTTTTCTGTAGCACCCATTAGGATGGTTTTGCTTCTCTTTTATATTTAAGGTTAAATTGAGGAACATCTTGAACTTAATCGATGCTACAGATTGAAAACCTGCAAACATTCATCCAAAAAAATATGATAATCTGTCTTCTGTCCAGAATAAAAGAGGATTATTTCTTAGGATGATGGGAAGGTCCAAAAACTAAAAGATCATGGTGATTTAAATTGTTCATGCAGAATATTCACAATATTCTGACTTTATTTTTCCACTGGTGTGGTGATACAAGAAGTAATTAAGTATGTGTATATTAAGTTCATTATAATGTTCGTAACAAATTTTTGATTCAAAATGTTGTGTCTGATCACTGCCAGCATTCCATAGATAGTTGTGTCATCTTGTCTAACGGCGCGTGAGCTTTGGTGCAGGAAATTATCTCCAAGGACAATGAGAAGCTCCGGCAACTAAAGGAAGAGCACGGCCAAGAAATGTACGCCTTGGTAACAAAGGCGCTGGATGAAGTCTACAATTACAAGCCTTGTGCGGAAGAACAAGGTCGAGAAATCTATGGTGTACCTGTGTTGTGGAACTACAAGGCAGATCGGCGTGCGACGGTAAAAGAAGGCATCCAGTACGCCCTGGAAAAGTGGGCAACAAAGAAAAGGAAGCGCTGAGCCCAGAATCTGGCCGGGGTAGTGTCCTCATAAGTGAGCCTTAAGTAGTCCTGGTGATTTTGCCTGAATTGGACACTTTATCGCCAGGGCGGAGGTCTCTCTTCCCTTGTTTGAAAAATATATCTGTCCGATGTCATGTTCAGGCTGATATTCTCCAACTTCTTATCTTTGATGGTATATACTGAGTACTGTTTATGTTCGTGAGATTTTGAATGATGTTTTTTCGAAAAGGGGATCTCCCCTGCCTCTGCATCAGAACGATGCATACGACCACCTCAATTAATAAGCAAAAAGGCAACAAAGGTCTTATAGTCTCAACGAAAGGAAAAAAGGCTCACAGAGAGCATAAGAAATAAGCAAACATAAAGCCACAACCGGCTGGCATAAAAAAAATAGGAAAATTAATTGCCTATCCTATTACATGACCGTCATTCAAACCGGTTGAAAATAGCCCGTGCTACCATCTCCTCCGTCGGAGTGAGTAGCGACCACATACGGATAAACGCAGTGGCTCGGAAGATAACCTGCAAAAAATGAATATTTGTTGTTTTGTTAAGATTTTGAATGATGTTAATCCTAGTTATAATCTGTTACTAGTGTGTTCTATATTTTCGTGATATCTTTGAATTGCAACGTGAACCTGCAAATCGAAATGCAGATGCAGAGGCGGCAAGTAAAGCTGTACATGTAGCTTCATGGAAACCATCCTTCTTACAGGACTACGTGAGATATATCAGAAAAAAGAGGATCTATCTTCTATTGTATTTCTGAGCCTCTCTTGCACCTGCCTCTGAATTTTGTATTGATTGTCAAGTCACCCTTTTTATCCCCGCCCCACTCCCCGCGTTAGTATAGAAAAGAAAGATCTAGCAAGCAAGAAAATCTAGATTAGTTGAGGTTCAAACGCAGATGTGTGATTTTTTTTTGGAAAACATCCGATTTATTCATTTTCAATCATGAGAGTATAATGAACATCATAAATAATAAAAATTACATTCGGATCCGTAGACCACCTAGCGACGACTACAAGCACTGAAGCGAGTCGAAGGTGCCGTCGTCATCGCCCTTCCTCACCAGATCCAGGCAAAACTTGTTATAGTAAACAGCCGAGAAGTCGTCGTTCTAAGGCCCCATAGGACCAATGCAGCAGAACAACAACCGCCGTCGATGAAGAGTAGCGTATATCGAAAAGATCCAACCTGAAAACACACGAACGTACACTACTAGAAAAAGGGCTTGACCACTAATGGCGCACCAGAAACGTGGTGCGCCACTACTAAATAGTAATGGCGCCCTATGAGCTGGTGCGCCACTACTAACATTTTTTTAATTTTTTCAGAAATACTAATGGTGCACCTACCACATAGTGGGTCACTACTATTTTTTTTGAAAACTATTATCATTTTTATTTTTCGAACTCATGAATATTTTTAAATTTAATTCATGGGCACTTTTTGAATTCATGTATATTTTTTCAAATTTGATGATATTTTTTCATATTCAATATGAAAAAATATTGAATATTCATGAGGACACTCGATCACGATCCCCCTCCATCTCGATCGATATCCCCATCGCCGGATCCCCCTCGCCGCCGAGCACCCCCCGCACCCTCCCCCGCTCCACCGCCGCCGACGACCCCCCGCACCCTCCCCCGCTCCACCGCCACCGATGACCCCCCGCACCCTCCCCCGCTCCACCGCCGTCGCCGAC